AGAGAGAGGGCAGTGAGAACATAATTAAATACCAACTTTCCTTAACGTTGGATTGTTCGTGGTTGTCATATTCCTTGGTCATGTGGTGTTATATTAATATAATTATTTAATTCATAAAAAATTACAAAAAAATACTCTTTAATATAATTATAATACTTACAATAAATACTGCAGCAGTTTCTTTACAACCAATGATGCTATTTAATATGAGACAATCTTTTATGGAATGTATTCACAAATGAATTAAAGCAAATGGTGGACATATCGAACACTAACTTTGACAAAAAGTTTAAAGTTTTTTAGTTTAACTATTTTTCAATTTGGTTTGTAAATAGAATGTTTTGATTATGACTTTAATTTAGTATAAAACGTAAAATGTTTGATGTAAAATAAAATTATTCTGTTATTTTGTCAAATCCTATTACAAATTATTCTGCTGATATTTTTATTTTATTTATTATTTCGTTAACTATTAACTTTGGTAAAAGTATTTTACACCAAAATTTAGAAGTATTGATGTTTTTGTCTATTTTGTCTTTTTTTTCGTTGCCTTTGGAGTAATTGCGCTAAATCAGAAATGCAGTTGCAAAAATCATGCAGTTGATTTGTAAAATGCGATTATCTCGAAAACTTTTCACTTTTAAAGTTATTACGAGGTATACTTTTTTTTTTGTTAAAATAATGTATCTTTAATATTTTTTACCAAAAACATCGGTATTTTGAAGAGCAAAAAAGTTAAGAGCAAATTTATGCCACATATGTGGCATATGTAGCGCCCTCTATCAGCTACATTAAAGTATGCATTAAATTATAATTCATCATATTCCATGATACCCAGTTGTAAATTATTGTACATAAATGTTTACAATCATGAAAGTTATAGCGAAAAACAAAATTTTAAATTTTCACTTTAACACCCTGTATCTTTTCTAATATCAACACTTTGGCTAAATCGTAATATTTTGAAGTGTACAATTACTTAAGGACCACAGAGAAATATATATATATATATATATATATATATATATATATATATATATATATATGTACATATATTTCTATGTTAACCTTATCACAGTCTAAGCAAGGTATTTGATACACTATTTTAGAACTTTCCTTGGTTGTAAGAGGATCTTTAGTTTTAGTAAATAAAATAAAACAATAGCCATAACACATTTATACACTAGATGTCTCCAGAATTTTCGGTACTTTCAAACCCCCACCGACAAATATCAGTCTTTAAGAAAGACGTGCCCTTAAAGAACTTTATAACAACCCTGACATTGTCATCCTTCTGGTGGACAAAGGTAATGCCACCGTCATTCTTAACTCTTCTAACTAGTTCGACAAAATGTTGAACTTCTTAATTCCACAGAATACAAACGCGTCCCAAACGATCCCACAACTTTTCAAATTCATCATAAATAAGTTTACTCTACCTTTCGATATAAAAAAACTCTTTATTCAAACCATGGACATCAATACCACACACCCAGTTGATGATTTACAGAAAATTGGACTGTGGTAGTAGACTTTTGTGGGTAGTTTTGGGGCCATCTGTTTTCTCAAGCCATAATAGCACTTATTGGCAAGCACTATCCTTCTTTCAATTCTAATCTTTAATAGATGAAGGTGTCCACACCTTTTAGTTCCAGATCATCAATTAATAGTCTAGGTAGGTATCTAGTTGCCTGATCTAGTACAATACATATACTTGGTTTTCTGTGCGTTTATTTTTATTCCAATTCTCAGTGCAGACGCCCTTAATGATCGAAATGCTTCGATCAGAGATTCCGTGGACCTAGCAATAATGTCTATGTCATCTGCATATCCGACCACTTGTAAAGATTTATTAAAGATTGTGCCATTTGTATTAATATGACACTCTCGAATTACTTTTCTTAGTGCAAGGTGAGAGACACGCCAAACTGAAGCGGCATTTGAAATTTCTCCAATTCCTCCAATTTTGACCCAAAATTAGTCCTTTTAATACAGTTAGGATTGATGAAGCAGTTTGTCAGACTTTAAATAAAGAGGGTGACTGCTGTTCAGTAAATATTGTGACACTACTTATGCGACAAATTTCCTGCACTGTCTGAAGCTAAACTTATGAAGGCATTTTTGTATGCCCTTTAATTTTCACCTTAAAATCGAACAGATTATTCCAGAATACAATGACCCAGGATGAATTTGGGATGAGTTTTTTTTATAGAAGTCATAGAAGGTTTCATTTCAAACAACAAATATCTAAACTTCAGAGAAATTATAGCGAACATGATTGAAAATTATAAAATCTGGGATGCAATGGAACAAAAACCTTATTTTTTGGATTCCCATGTTGACTATTTTTCCTAAAATTTTGGAGCTGTCAGCGAGGAACAGGAAGAGAGGTTTCATCAAGATAATAAGGAGATGGGCAGACATTATCAAGCTATGATATTAGAATGATGGCAGCTTACTGCTGAACTTAAAGAGGGACTCGCTCATAAAAATCCACAAAAAAAACTACAAAACGTAGTTTTCATGGAAAAAGAGAACGATTTAGTTTAAAAAACCTACGATTGTATAATTATACTGGTTTATTTTTTGTATAACTAATTCAATTTTGAAGTGTACTTTTTATTAAAGCTAGTTATATTAAATATTTTCTCAGTATTTTTGACAGTTTCTATGAAATATTTTAATCATACTTTCCTTGAAAAAATGACAACGGAACCTTGGTAAAAAAAATTAATCGTAGATTCGTGATCAGCACACATCTTTTTCTATAAGACACCTATTCAACTGGAAACACTTTTTTATGAAACACAAAATGGTTTGCTTGTGTATTTATTGTCTAAATTAATCCACCTATAGGTGAAACATGTAATGTACAAGTTACCGTTAACCATTTTTTAATTGTATGCCCTCGTGTGGCTAATTATCGTGTTGCATTTAACATACCTGTCTATAAATAGATACATATCGGACATAGACTTGGAACAGACATAAATGTCTATTCCAAGGCAACATACCCGAACAATGGAATAATGATAAAACAATACTAATACCCAAAAAGGGAGACACCACAGACCTGAAAAATTATCGACCAATTTCACTTCTTTCACAAATTTACAAAACATTTACAAAGATTATTACAAACAGGTAAACAATTAAATTTAACAGATATTAACCAGTAGAACAAGCCGGATTTAAAAAAGTGTACAGCACCTGTGATTATCTTCACACTTCAAAAATCCTAATGGAAAAAACTAATAAATACAATCTCCCATTATGTCTGATTTTTATAGATTATGAAAAAGCTTTTAATAGCGTAGAACTATGGACAATAGAAGAAGCATTAGTCAACAACCGTATCGACTCCAGGTACAGAATACTAATATATAGTATTTACGAATAAGCTGAAATGATAGTGACATTGGGTAGTGGAATCGAAACAAGACCAGTAAAAAATCAACCGAGGAGTAAGTTAAGAAGACACAATATCTCCAAAATTATTTACAGCTGCCCTAGAAGATATCTAAGTCAATAGACTGGGAAAATAAGCGAATCCCTATTAACGCAAGAAACTTCAACCATCTTAGATACACAAATGATGTAGTACCAATAGCCGACACGTGGAATGCACTGAATACGATGATTGAGGAGCTACACACAGAATCCCTAAAAAAGGACTGAAAATGATTGATGGATTCGACCGTTACTTGATGGAAATTCATTTTATGTAACAATAAAACACTGAAAACTTTGTTTTCAAACTTCCACAAAATTTATTTTAACTATTATCACTACAGCTGTTTCGGCTGATAGCCTTTCTCAAGTTGACTTGACTTGAGAAAGGCTAAACAGCTGTAGTGATAATAGTTAAAATAAATTTTGTGGAAGTTTGAAAACAAAGTTTTCAGTGTTTTATTGTTACAGACTGAAAATGAATTTTAGCAAAACTAAACTAATGTCAAACAAAGATGACAAACCTATGATGAACATCGAAGGGACAGAGATAGAACACGTAGATGAATATACATCTCTTTTTCAAAATGTCAAGGTAAGCAAAAGAAAATCAGACTACCAAAATAAGCAGACGTGTAAAAATGTGATGAGCAGCATTCGGAAGACTCTCATTCGTATTTAAAAATAAAAATATACCTCAAAGACTGCGAACCAAAGTGTTTGTATCCTACGTGTGCTTACATATGGAGCTCAAACCTGGACATTTACTAATATAAACATGAAGAAGATCAGAAAAACTCAGAGAGCTATGGAACGACAGATGTTGGGTATCTTACTCAAAGACCATAAACCAATGAAGACATTCGTTATAAAACAAAAGTAAAAGATGCTGTCAAACAGGCAGCTAAACTAAAATGAAAATGGAATGGACATAACGAACGTCTTACGGATGGCCCATAGAATAAAGAAATAAGGAATTGACGGCCATATGAAGCCAAAAAACCACGAGTAAGACCGCAAATGCGATGGAGCGGCGATATTAAAAGAACTGCAGGGCCAATGTGGAAACGTCTTACAAACAACAGAGATGAATGGCAAGAATAAGGAGAGGTCTATATTCGACAATCCGAATAGAGAAAAGGGCTTAAAAAAATTTAACATACCTAACAGTATAAGTACTTTATTGGGCACTAATTTTTCATCGAATATTATTGTATTCTTTTTAAATTTATAGGAATGTGTTATAAAATTTAAATTAGTAATTCTGTAACTGCCGCGAATAATCGTTATGGTGAATGCGGCTGTATTTTCTTAATAAAAAAAAATTAAATGCTTAGATGTTTTAGATACAGATTAATATATAATAATTATTGTTATATATAAGATATTTATATGAAATATAACGTTATATTACTTTAGTATTTACAATTTACATTTATGTTTTAGAAAATCAAGGTTATCTACAATGTTTATTTATGGGGTTTTAGAGATAATAGTTTATTTTAAAAAAAACCTTTGACTATGTTGACATTATTTACATATCTAATTACCTGCCAAGTCCCTAGTCCAATTATTGGTATTTTGACACCATTATACATTTTAAGCGACATTTTGAAAACTGTTAATACCTTTCAATGACTCGTAGGTAACTATTTACACCAGCCTATCTTAGACTATTAAAAAACTTTTCAACAATATGCAAATACAGATTATATTAGTAAATAATTGCAGAGCCGGATTCACCCATAAGATATTTTGCTTATAATATATTTTTATTTGATATCCAATAAAAAAACAATTATTAAAAAACTTATAGTGGGAAGAAGTGAAGTATCTTTAGTTATGCACCAAAAAATTACCCCACTGACATGTAGTATTGGCTGACTAAAGCTAAAAATGATAATAATGAATTGGTTGCACATGTGAGTTTATTTCCAACAGGGTTGTAGAAATAAATTTAAGATTTACAATAATATATTTTATTTGGCTTAAAACGACCGGTTTCGACCACTACAATTTTCTGGTCATTTTCTGGTGCCCGGACAAGTTAAATTAAAATGCTAAAACAATTACATACTGTGATATATGGTTGAATGCTCGAATTAATGAACTTTAATTAAATAAAAGGTAGATATCGAGCACAGTTTTTTATTAAATCTGCCCCAAGTACTTTCTCTCCTAGAGCATCTTCAGGGGCATTTCGTCAAAATTATAGGCTATATACCTAACAATTTAAGGAATTTCATAAACATTAAATAATTCATGTAAACAACACTAGACAAAGAAAAGAAAAAGACAGTTAAGATTTGATTTTAAGTATAGTGCATCTGTATATCTGCTTATACGTATTTCGCCCTAAAAGGGCTCATCAGAATGGGTATTCACAGTCGCTCTGAACGTGAAAATGAATCTTTCCTGTCTTAAGAAGTAACTCTAACATGGATTCGTATGGACGCAAATAGCGACATCTGATATTAAATCCGTAAACTAATTTTCGAAACCAAATTCAGATTTTTGCTTTAATCTGTGTCTTCAAAGAACTGCAAGGCAAAACAGATGTTGATAAAGATGTTATAAGGGACATGGGAAATCTAAAAATTGCATTCCATAACATATCTCATCAACTAAGCACAGATCCTTAGCGAATTTGTTTCTAGTACTAGTAAAGATTATACTGGAAGAAAAGGAAAAGATATTGTGTAATGCAATTTTTAGATTTTTAAATCCGGAAAGGTGTCCGCCAAGGCTGCATACTCTCTCCGATGCTTTTTAATTTATATGTTGAAAATATATTTGCGGAAGCATTAGAAGATACGGAATTAGGCATTGAGGTGAACGGCATACCAATTAGCAACCTACGCTATGCGGACGATACAGTGATTATAACTGATAATTTGGCAGTTATTACTTGATAGGGTGAATAGCATAGGTAAAAAATATGGCCTCAAAATCAACATTTTGAAAACGAAATATATGGTCATTATCAGAAACCCTCCAGAAATCCCGATAATATGTATAGGTGACAATCGTATAAATCGCGTGAAAACTTTTAAATAACTTGGCACCACAATCAATGACCAATCGGATCCACAACACGAGATAAAAACCCGAATACAAATGGCAAGACAAGCTTTTGTGAAATTCAGACCGCTCCTATGTAATCAACACCTAAACTTCGAAATACGCTACAGAATGGTCAAGTGCTACATATGGTCCATCTTGCTTTATGGCATGGAAATGTGGACTTTGAAAAAAAAAAACATCTATCAACAAACTTAAAGCATTTGAAATGTGGTCATTGAGAAGAATGATGCGCATACCTTGGGTGGATAGAGTTCGAAACGATGACGTCCTTAATAGAGCCGGCGTGGAAAGAGAACTCTTTGAATAAATTAAAAAACGCAAGATTGGTTACCTTGGGCACATATTGAGAGGAGCAAAATATGAAATACCACAGTTAATCCTACAAGGGAAGATCGAAGGTAGGAGAGGAGCCGGCCGCAAACAATTATCCTGGTTAAGGAATATTAAAGAATGGACAGGAATACACAATACAGGTGAGCTGTGTCACGCCGCCAAGAACAGAATTCTAGTAATGAGATTGGTGTATGGCATGTTAAGAAGAAGAATTTTTAGATTACCCATGTCTCTAATAACATCTTTATTAACGTCTGTTTTGCCTTGCATTTCTTAGAAGGTACAGATTAAAGCAAAAATCTGAATTGATTTCGAAAACTAGTTTCCGGATTTACTAGACAAAGACTTTAAACTATTTCTTCTTTGTCAAGTGTTGTGTAAATGTAGTATTTAATGTTTATCGCATTGATGGCCTGGTTCGGACTCTACTACGACTTCGGACAAAAACACAACTTGTCTTATATCCATTAGGCAAGTAAGTAAACTTCTTAGCCCCACCTAATATCATTTGCATTCTTCTCTTTTCTGGTTTCATATGTTTAGCCTTTGTCCCCCTGTCGGGGAGCATGCTGGAATAAATCCATTTGAACATGTAAAAATAGTTACTAAAATTTTTAATTTAGTATTTAACTCCACTTTTGACAAAAATGCACTCACTCTAAAAAAAAAAAGATAAAAATGTCAACGATTGTCAAACATTGTAAAACATTTGTCAATAGTTTTTAGTAAATAGTTTTTTTTTGTGAGCTTCAAAAGAAGACTCCCCGAAAAATCAAGCACCCCGCCTACCCTTAAAGCGAATTTAGTACCGCACGGTGCAACATCTCTGATTGCAGAAAGAAGCCTAAAAAAACCTCATCATAGATTTACTCCCGACACATTTATAGAGTGCAAGTTTTTAAAAGTTTTTGCATGCCTAGCCTTAGACCTGCGTGGCTGGTATATCTTTAGATTCACAATCTTCGTGATAACTATTTGGATAAACAATAAGTGCACATACACTTTCTAGAGACTTGTTAGCCAGTAAGTAATATTTAGTAGTAGGAATTTTGTTTAGTTCTTTATGTATTTGTACTGATTTTATTTATGCTATTTGTTTTTCTCTCTTTCTCTCTTTAATAATTCGTTTTGTACCTTTGGATTGTTGAACCGTTAATGTTTAAGACATTCTTATATTACAGGTAAGAGCTCTCATATTTTGTAACCAGCAATGGTAAATTTAAAGGAAACCGGGGTATCGCTATTTTTGCAATTTTTTGGGACTTAGCATAAAAAATGAAAAAAAGACTATTTTTTTGTAATTTAAGGGAATAAAACTAAATAAATTGCTAAAAAACCTTAAAATAATGAAAAAAAATTGTAAAAAATAGGAAATTACTATAAAAATGTTGTAAAAATATAAAACTACTTACAAAATCATATGAAATATATACATAAATAAATATTAATATTTATGGCCTAAACCATTAAAAAAGTAAACATTTTTACAAAAAGTCGTAATTTATTAAAATTATGAAAAGAACTCTGCGCATCTGCATAATAATTATAATTTGACATATATTCGCAATGTTGCCACGTTTATAATTGCTTTGTATGGAGTAAAAATGTATAACATATTTGAAATAACAAATTGTAAAAATTTGAAATAACAATATATATGAATTTGAAATAAGAATATATAAGAATTTAAAATGAGAATATATAAGAATTTGAAATAAGAATATATAAAAATTTAAAATAATAGTAGATAATAGTCTTTATGTTACTACTTACCTTTAATCTGCCGGTGGATACAAATTTGACATTATATACCTAAATCTTCCTTCACTATCCACTTTCAGAACACTGCCGCAAACTGGACATATTCTAGTATTTTTTAACACCCCATGTGAATAAAAAAAGTTCATTATTTCATTTTTACAGTCCATTCGAACGCTATCATTGTAAGAAATTTCACATGAGGTGCAACTAGCCATTTTGTTTGTTATAAACAAATACAACTCAACGTTACTAAGAACAAATTATGTATAAAGACCCACCTAAAATTTTTGGAATAGTCCAGGGGATGGATTAGAATGTTGTCAAGTTTAAATATTTTTATAAGTATTGTTTATAAAAATATTTAAACTTAACAATATCTAATACTATTTTAATATATTTTTTCATATTTAAAATTGATTTGGCAACAACCCTAAAAAGATGTTATTGCAATTGTCACACGGTTGCCAAAGTTCGACATACTTTATTCTCGTTAATGAATAGTAAAAAAAATAACACCAAAATGCCTCTATATTCTTTGATAACACTTAAACTAACCCAATCTAATCAAGCTAGCATAACTTGATTAGATTAAGTTAGTTTAAATAGTTTATACCAAAAAACAAGCTACAATATATATGATGAAATACGAAATAAAAATAATATTTAATGAAGTGCGAAATAAAAACATTATACTTAATCAGTTAGTCGACAACACTGCAAACAGGAAATCAAAAGTTGCTTGAAAACTGGAAATTGAAAAGACCCACCTGATCAAACCTCACTCAAAGCAATCTAAACTATCATATATACAAATTAATAATTTATGAAAAACACAATATTTTCTTTTTACTCAGTAGCGTTGAAACGCGCAATTCTTAACATATCTTAATGAGAAAACATAACCTGATCAAACCTAACTCAACGTAATCTAAACTGCCATATAAACAAGTTGATAAATTATGAAAAACAAAATATTTTCTTTTTTCGATAAAACACGCATATCTTCTTAACATATCTTAATGACAAAACATAACCTGACTAATTTATAAGAAACAATATTTTTTGAAAACATTGCAACATTGGTAGAAAAGTGACATGACATTAACAACAACACAATCAAAATGGAAGAAATATTTGAAAATTAATGTCAAAAAATGCAATTTTTAAACGAAAATTATAGAAAAAATATGCATTAAAATACAGAATCCGCAATTTCTAGAGCAATATGAAGTGAGTAGGAAGCCGTACATAACAAATATTTCAAGATTTAACTTGTATTTACCGTCCTCGGTTTCCTTGAATAATACCACTAATTTAATCCATAAAGTGGTCCTTCAAGCCGGATCTTGAGGCTCTTCTCTACCTATAATCTCTTTCTTAGCACTTTGGTTCAAAACCCCACGAAAATATCTTTTTTTTTTCTACCTTTAGTATTTTCATTTTTTTTAGTCTCTTTAAAATCATTTGATAATTTAGGTATTATTTT